CGTTTTTGTATGTTGTTTCCCTCCATTTTTAAAGTGTCTGTGTCCCGTGAAGCATTTACATGAACATTAGATTTATTTGGAAAGTTTTTGGTACTGGAAATGTTAAACTCTTAATTTCAGCCCGTGAATGAAAAGTTTAACTGTTCTAAAACGTTAAAAAGGAAGGGCCCCGAGAGCATCACCCAGTGCTTGTTTATACCCAGTAGAAAATGATCAGATATAATTCCCAAAGTGTCGAGAAGCCAGGAGGGAAACGGGGAGTGGGCAAAATCGCTGCTTATTTATTTAGATTTAACGTTTTTAAAAGAACGGCCATACAAAAGCCCTGCTGGAAGCTGGACTTTCAATAATAACATCAGTGATTCAACAATGTGACCATTTACTGGAATCAACAAAAGACGGGACCGCTGAACTGGGAATTTTGTCAATTTTTAAAAGCATTGCTCCCCTCTCCACCCAGTTCAGAATCCATCCAGTGTGGGGTTAACCCATTCAGATTGCTTTGCTCCAAACTTTAATTGAAGGAAAACCCACTAAGTTGGTAAATGACTATTGCTGTCTAAAGTAGAATCGGGACTCGGTTATTATGTTCTGGTGTTTCACTTAAAGCTATTCATTCATTTTGGACAAGATCGGGGATTAAATATGCTTGCCCAGTGGATCACACTGTGTGTGTGTTGTTTCATTTCATGAAGCTTTAATGTGTTTTCTTTCCCCCAGTGGGTGTTTTTCTGTTGAGGGGAAATCCCACCAGTCCTGGTTTGTAGGGCCCGCAGTTAGGATAAAAGGGCGTTTTACTTGTAAACTGAGCAAATGTGATCTGGAAATCACTGAGATACAATAAATAAGGAACCCGACCATGCCGTTTTTCAGAGCAGAACCGCCCTTGAAGTAGTATCATTGATACATGGGAGCTGGTTGAATCAACCCTGTCACATACATTACTATCTGTGTGCACTCTGCTGTCAGGAAACAGGCACACGAGTCGGCATCCATCAGAAGTGTGTGTGTGGATCACTGAAAAGGGATCACTGACAGGGAACATAGCAGAAATTCGACCATGGAGCAAGTATGTTCCTGCTCTGCTCTCCGTCCTCACATTACCTCAAATGGCCAGTGCATGCTAATCCTGCCAAAGGCGTCTTTGACATGACTGTCACTCATTGGACTGATCCTGGTCCCACTGACTTCAGTGGCAGCAAAATTGGGGCCTTTGATTTCCACAGCAAGCCCATCACCTCCTGTATTTCAGCCAGGCGTGATCCCTAGCTGGGCCAGGCATTCCGTTCTGTGGTTCTGGGTTGCTGAAGGAGGAAAGGCAATCACTTCGCTGCTTGCCCTTGCGCTGACATTCGGTTGAAGTCAGGGCTAAATTGTTCCATCTGGTAGCCCGGGATATAGGTTCTGCCAGACAGACCTGGCCTGTTTTGCAGCAGCTCCAGACCAGTTCAGAAGACAGCCCCTCCCCCTTTACTGAACTCCCCACAAGCATAACATTAACAAAAACAATATTTTGTGACCCTCCTTTATAACTTCATTCTACTGAGCTTTTTTTGGGGGGGGGGGCAGTTTTGTTCCTCTTACTTGAAATAGACGGGAGAATGAACAGTCAGTACCAAAAACGCGGTAATACGCAGAACCGGAAAAATGTGGAAACTGTTGTAAGCAAAATGTATGCTGCTGAGAATTGAATTATGGGGAAAGGGCCGTACTTTTATACTGTCAGCAGTGGGGCTTGTTGAACTTTTCTTTCCCCTTTGGTTTTATTTGAGTCTCATGGCACCAGTATAAAATTCTCAGCATGATGTCAGAACACAGGTTTTAGATTTTCTCCATGGCCATATGGCTAAAATGGACAGGGATGTAGCTTCTTGGGAGGGGAAATCTGCAACAATCCAACCATTGACAGAACTGGCAAGTTATGTCTGTGATTACTTGTAGGGAATCCTAACTCATACATCTTTTGGGCTGTGATCTTGTAAAATCATGCAAGCATAAGCTGGGTTGGGACTGTTCTGTACTTGGAGGCCTTTCATCCAAGATAAACCTAGGAAGTAGTGTGGGTGATTTAGGCCCTGGTTCAGCAAAGCATTTAAGCATCTTTTACTTCAACGGGACTGCTTGCATAATTAAAGTTAAGCACAGGCTTCAGTGCTTTTCTGAATCAGTAACAAAGTGATGCCCCAGCAAGGTGTCTCTGGGGGCATTGTACTGCTGGATTGTGTATGTGTAAGCCCAGGTCTACACTAGCAGGGGAGGGGGGAGTGTTGATCTAAAATACGCAACTTCAGCTACGTGAATAGCTTAGCTGAAGTCAGCGTATCTTAGGTCGACTTATCTGGCTGTGAGGGCGGCGGCGAGTCGACCACTGCCGCTCCCCCGTCGACTTCGCTTCCGCCTCTCGCAAGCTGGAGTTCCAGAGTCGACGGGGAGCGCGATCGGGGATCGTTTTTATCGTGTCTACACTAGACATGATAAATCGACCCCCCCAATAGATTGATCACTACCCGCTGATCCGGCAGGTAGTGAAGACGTGCCCTAAGAGAGAATCTCTCTCTGTGTGTGTATATGTATGTGTGTGTGTGTGTGAGAGAGAGAGTTTCTGTACTGGATCTGGTTTTTGATGAAAAACAAAAAAAAATTATAATGGAAAAATGCCAACCACCTCTAATATTCTATATTAGATCTATATGAGAGAGCAAGGGAGAGCATGTAGTTTGTCACATGCTTTGAGACTCTTCAAGATGAGAGGAGCCCTGTAACTGGCAGATGGTAGTTAATTGTTACTTGTCCACACTAATGGTATATAACGGGTTTGAGCCCATAGCATCCAGGCTCAAAGAAACAGACCCTCCTTTCCACTGGAGTCTAAAGCTTTGGAATATGACCCTGTTCACTAGAAAGTTGTATTTCAGTCTGCTAGGAGTAATTCCTAAGAGCTTTCCACCTAATCCCCACCCATTCTCAACCTGTGCTAGCTCGTTTCAGGAGCTGCACCCAGCTTGTTCCGAGCTGTCTGTGGAGATGTATCTACGTACCTTCTTATATATGCCCTGTAAAGGAGGATTGGGAGGCTGGACATAAGTGAACCAGATTCAAACACAAAATTGCCCTGCCTACAAAATCAGGATCAGTTTAGCAGCAGTCTCCCTGTTCCTGACTAAACCCAGAAGACATTGGGCCAGTTCTGCTTTCTTCCCCCTCCCCTTCAGAGGTTAAATCATGTCTGGTAAATTTGGCATTCACTGTCTCTGTTCTCCCTCTGTTACCCGAAAATGAGACGTCCTTCTGGCACTATAGACTGTTCCACTGATGCAAGTCTGTGCGTAAGAGTCCATGTGCTTTTGCATGACTCTCTCTTGCAAATCTGTGACTTTAATTGGTTCAGCACATACTTGGAATTTACTTTGCACAGTTTTAATTTTTTAGTGTAAAAACCAAAAATGTAATGACAGTATTGTCCTTCAGTGCTTTCTCCAAACATCTGGAGTGCATTTTCAATTATGTTAAAATGTATAAATTGCTAACAAATGTAGTTCTGACAATATATCTATAATATAGGAAGGATTTAAATTTCCATTTCTTGCAATGTGAGGTCCCGGTCCTACATACACTTATGCATGTGCATATGTCTGCTCATGTGAGTAAATTTACACGCATGTATATGTTTTTAGGATTGGGCCCTTATGTTTTGCAAAAAGAGGTGGATCTCAGAAATCTTGAACCAATTGAATCCTATCCGACTCCGTCAGCTGCCTCTAATATAAATGTGGGAAACTCCAGGGATGACGTAACATGTTACCCCCCACAAAGAAAATCAGTGATAGAAAGTTATTGACAATCATTTATTGTGCAACACGCTGAAGATGCTGGAAACGGAATAACGACAGTCATTGAAATCTCCTTCAACCCTGCAGTAACACACAGTTGTTAACAATGAGTTAATTTTTTTCTGCTCTGTGCATGTGGCTCAAGTTTCCATGTCGGTTTTGCTTTTGATTTTGTCAAGCCCAGCTTTATAGACACACGACTGTGAATTAGTCTCTCGTTTCCATGTAACCTTACGGTCAGCCGCTGAAATGTATTCCCCAGTTAACAGTGGGTTAAATAAAACACCTTACCGACGCGGAGCAGTGTGCGTATGAGGGCTGAACTATGGCAGTGCCTTCTGCTTTGCTTCTTTGTACACAATGAAAGCAATATCTGCTCTTCCTGCCAGAAAGCTTCCTAGTGGGGGGAGATTTTTACTATCTTTAAAAAACAGAACAACAATTTAAGTCTTCTTTGTCTGAAAACCATACTCCACCCTGGTCTCGCGTGTTACCGTTTCTCTGTCTAGCTGCATTCTCACTGTGGCACACAGCCACCAGCCGTTCTCTTTAAAGAGGGAGAAATAAACAGCTGGTGCGTACAGTAGGTTAGCTTTCCTAGTGATTCTTATCCTCTGGATTTCAGGAGCAGGTATGTAACCCAAACCTCAGCTTGGGAGCAGCCCATTAAGTGAATCCTATGCTAAGCTACTTAAATTTGAAACGCAGATATGTATCACGAATGCACCAGAGGCCGTCATGTAAAACTAAGGCATTTTCTGTGCAGTGGGCACAAAAATGAATGTCTGCCAGAATAGATCAATATGAAACAATCTCTTTTATTGGGTGGCTGCCCAGGCCTTCTGCTGCAACAGTAAATCTAATTGGTTGCTTCCTCTTACCATGCGCAGCTTCATGTGGGAAATGCCCTTTTTATCTACAATGGCTGACTGCACTATGCCGCACTGTCAGTAGCTGCAGATTTCCTGTTAAAATGAACACAGTTGTTTCTTAAAGCTAGAGTTTGGCATGGGGGAGATTGGATTGTTTTAGCTGATTCTATTTCTCTTTTTCCTACAGGTTGCTGAAAAGTGCCTTTCCTGAAGCCACTGCTGCTTGGATTTCTGTCTAAGGCTGCCTCTCTCTCCCCCTCCCCCCCCCCCCCCCCCCCTTTTTTTTTTTTTTGTTGCTTGTAGTTTTTTCCCTAACGGCAACTCATCCATCCCCGCCCCCCCTTTTTTCCTTTTTACACTCTGTTCACTCAGCCATTTTTTTTCCTTCCCGAGTATGTAGCAAATATTTTTGAGTGATAACATCCTTTCGCTCCTTTTAATACTCGTGAATTGTCATTTTTAGAACCAAGAAATAAAAGGGAAAAAAAAAGTTTTCTGCCCAAGGACCGAGACCATTCCGCAAACAGAAGCGCTGCCAGCCGCATATGCTTTTTGCAAGAATAATTGAAACCATTAACTGGAGAGCACAGAATTCTTTTGAAAGTCTGCCAGTTATTTTCAAGTAACTTTGGCAGTGGCACAAAATATAACACTTATATTTTAACTTCTACAATTGCACTTTTAGGAGCTGGCCTCTCATTTGATTTTCAGTTATTCTGATAAGATTTCTATTTTATGATTGGCTTTATGTTTAATTCTTGTTGAAACAAACACAATTTGACTTAAATGAAAACCTAAGTGCTGACGAATAGAAATTTTACCAAAGCAACAAGTTCGTTATTTCTTCACATTTAACTTGAATTCACTTTTTTACCCTTTTTAAAAAAATCAGCAGTAATATTGTCCTAAAGAAGGGTGTGATTGCTTGCGTTTTAATTTTTGTTTTTAATATGGCTGTAAACGTTTCCCTGGTTCGTGATACAAAATGGCTGACTTTAGAAGTATGTCGAGAATTTCAGAGAGGTACTTGTTCTCGATCTGATGCAGAGTGCAAGTTTGCCCATCCGTCACGGAGTTGCCATGTGGAAAATGGTCGAGTTATTGCCTGCTTTGACTCTCTAAAGGTGAGGACTGTCTAACACATGCATTGCTTAATCTCACTTTGCTGTCATTCTCTTCCTGAATCATTTCAAGTGGGTGGAATATGAGAGATGAGTATAACAAGTATTTTTCTGCAGGGAGGATGTTGTTTGTGTAAAATATAGCCCCTAAAATCTAGTTTAGCTAATATTTAGCACCCCACAATTGTTTCATTCAGCCTGATTCAGACACTGGAAGTATCAGGAAGTTTCCTGTGAAAGGTACCAGCAGTGTTGGTAGAGACAGGGAAAACTTTAACTCTGCCACAATTATGTTTTGTATTCAGTTTTGACATCTGGTACAAATGTACAGAATATTGAACATTGGAGAGAGAGCACATTATGTAGAGCGTTTTGAGATTGTAGGTCATGGCTATGCCTGAAATGGAGAACTCAGGTTACAGACCGTAAATGAAAGTGAAATGAGAAAAGCAGAGATCCAAAACTGAGCACCCTAGAACAGCAAAACTTTTAACTTGTGTCCAGAGCATGCTGGCTTTGAATTCAGGACAGGTCTCTGAAACATGCTTTTAAATAAAGACACCATTTTCAATAATTGATCAGTCTCAGCTGTATTTGCCTGCATTGGGGTGCAGATACACTGCACCAAATATGTTATAGGCAGCCAAAATATTTGGAGAGTGCTGCCTAGAGAAAGTTGGGGATAGGAGGAGATTTCAAATGATGTGAAAAGATGCAGAGTGTGAAAATCATATGTGAGTTAATGAGCTAAATCTTTTGCTAGTGATCATTCCTGAGAGTTCAATTTCACAGGAAGTAAATGCTGCTTTATTCCTTGTCACAGTTAAAGTTCATTGGGAAACGTTTTAAAGTTTACAAAATTACCAGATTCTTTCCAGCAACGGAGACAACAGAAAAATCATTCTAATTCACCCATTGAAAGCCAAAGCAAAAATGTTTCAAAAGCGACTAGTGATTTTGAGTGCATCAAATCTGAGGTGCCTAATCTGAGACATAGAAGGGACCATCATGATCATCTAGTCTGACCTCCAGCCCTCACAGGCCACAGAACCTCGCCCACCCACTCCTGTAATAGGCCCATAACTTCTGGCTGAGTTACTGTTGTCCTCAAATCATGATTTAAAGACTGCAAGTTATAGGGAATCCACCATTTACTCTAGTTCAAACCAGCAAGTGACCTGTGCCCCATGCTGCAGAGGAAGGCAAAAACCCACCAGGGTCTCTGCCCATCTGACCTGGGAGAAAATTCCATCCTGACCCTAAATACAGCAATCAGTTAGACCCTGAGCATGTGGGCAAGACCAGCAGTCAGGCACCTGGGAAAGAATTCTCTGTAGTAACTCAAAGCCCTCCCCTTCTAGTGTCCCATCTCAGGTCATTGAAGATGCTTGCTTATAGCAGTCACGGAGGGGCCAGATACCATTGTAGGCAACTTCGTCATACCCTTCCCTCCATCAACATCCCATCCCCTCCATAACATCTTAAAGGTGTCTGATTTTTCAGAGGGCGCTTTCTGAATAGTGATCTCCCTTTAGGGTGTCTGAAGTTGGGCCTGAATAAAACGGAGACACTCCAAATCACTACTTATGCTTGTAGTGCTAAAGTAGGATAAGTTTCCTGTTGTCTGAATTGCTAGAAAGAATCTGATAATTTTGTGATCTTAAAAATTTCCCATTGAACGTGGAGTTTTTCTTGAAAAGCCTTGGCTTTAGTTTAAATTTCGGGCACAGTAATTAGGTGAACTAGTGAAAAAAAGACCATGTCCAGGTCCCGTTTGACAGAGTCTAACCCGTATTATTACAGTTTTTACCTTCCTAGCTTTTTCCTGTTTGTTCCATGTTGATAGGAAGTTCAGACATCCAAGTTGCCTTTAGCTTTGTTCTTGTTAATCCAAGTTCATCAGATGATTCCTTAGTTATATAACGCCGTTCAAATGTTCATTTACATTACTCACCTGCTAACAGTGATAGACTGAAATATATTTTTATCAGCAAAGAAAAAAGTTAATGTTCCTTGTGCCCTTGAATCTTTTGAACTGCAGCCAGTGGTGGGACAAATATTTTGGATAAAGAGATTAATATGTTTACTTTAAATTGTATAACATTCACTTGTTAGCTAAAAGGAGTACAGTAAATATTCGGTGTGATAGTCCAATATATCACTTACTGGACCATGGGAGAGAGCTGCCGAAGTAGGTTTTAGTTTGGAGCGCCTCATAAACAGTCTAACCACTCAGTCTGGCTCTGTTACTTAACGCCCATAAATTGCCTTGTAGGCAGGGCTAACTAAAGTGACGTGCAGTACATAATGCTTCACTCTCTTTGTGGGTTACCACTCAGTAAGGCGCTCCTGACAAGCACCCAGGCTTCTGCCCTAGGCAGTTCTCTGCAGAGCTGGACTCAAGGAATGAAGTGTGCAGATCCCCATGTGCACTGGTTGGCTCAGGTTCAAATCTCACCCATTGGCAATAGCACATGGCTGCAATTAACCATGGGGGGGAAGTCCGGGAACATCCAGTTTGGAAGAGAAAAGAGATATCAAAGTTGTTGTTGAAAGGGGTCAGCTACTCGCTTAAGCTTCCTGCTCAGCATGTATCTCATCTGTTTTGTTATGTGTGATTAGGTGATGAATAAATTTACACACTCATTACAGCCTGGTCTTCAATATAGAAGCACATGCTCTGTACAGACCGTTTAAGTGGCAGGAAAACAGAGTCTGAGTGGGAAGTTTTCCCTGGACTTCTCTGATTGGATCCGTTGCATCGCAATGGCCCAGTTTGCTTCATCCCACAGAGAGGAAACCGCAGGAGAGGAGTAGCAATGTTAGACCCCAAGTGCCGCCAATCCCACAAATCCCAGAATCATCCACCAGGCCCTAAAAATTGTGCGATCGGCTTTGAAATCAGGCGGTTTTTAAACAGTAATCAGTGTGGGCTCCGTTTGATTTGCTCTCTGGGTTTTGTGCCTTTCGGGTCAGGTTTCCAAGTGTTTCTCGACAGCTGCGAGGGCTGGAAACTTATTTTTTAAGAAACGCACCAACTCTCCTGAGGCTCGTGATGATCCTGTGAGATGTGGCAACGCTGGGCCCCTGGGAATCTGGACCCCATTGTGTGAGGGGTTGTAGAAATAAGCCATACAAAGACGGTTCTTGCCCCAGAACGCTCAGAGTTAAGAAAAGGGTCAGCAGGTGACTAGACAAGAGAGGTGAGGTGTGGTGTGGTGTGGTGGGGGCCGAGGTAACGGTTATCACAGGCGCTGGACTCTGACCCCTCCTGGTCTCTTCAGGTGCACCTCTCTCAGGTCTTGGGCCTCTCACCATCATCTCTGGCTTGGGGAGGAATGAAGCGGTTCTCCCCTTCACAGTTGACACCTAGGCCTGGTCTGAGATCACCTCAGCAGACCTGAGTTCTTGGCAGTGCCTACATGCTGTTTGTTCCCTCCGGCAGCTAGGACAGCCACCACCAAACAGCAGTATTTATTTAGAACAAAAGCATTTCAGAGAAAACAGACCTTAAAGCAATAAACCGTCTAGACACTCGGCGGCCTTTGCCTTGGGCTTCCCATTCTCTGGAAGGATCCAGCTCTTCGCAGAGCCACCCTGTCCCCCTGGCAGCCCCTGACAATTGCCCCCCTCCCACCCCCACCCATATAGCTTTTTAACTGTTTAATGTTCTCTTGATCTCTGTTCCCAGCATTGCAGAAGAGCTGCGTCTCTTTGTTAGAGACAAGATATAGGATGCTCAAAGTGAATAGGTTCCCCCGTTGTCTTTCAGTTGCCCCCCCCTCCCCGGGTTTGTTTCGCAGTTGCTTATCTGGATCCAGAGTGTTGTTTCCCTGCTTGTTTTTCCCACAGCCCCTTATTACGCTAGAACAGAACATTAATACAGGAATGTCTGGTAAGCCAGTATGCAATCACATCACCTCACTGACCACGTCACATACAGTGTTCTTAACATTATTACAGCTCGGTATTCTTCGATTATTACATGCCCATCGAACAGTAAAAACAGATATGGTTGCAGATGTAGCCTTGCTTGTCAAAGGAGGTGCCAAGCTCTCTGCTCCACATTTCTGTGTGCATGTGTGTCTGCATCTCTCTTGGTGTATTTTCTCTCCAAGTAATATGGGATACATAATGGGTGGGATATGAAGGTTTTATTTACAGGAGTCTGGGGTGGCTGCCTTATGCATCCTCTTTGGAGCCTCAAAGAGTTGCAAAATTTTGGTTCCAAAATTGGTCCCAAGTGCAGGACTGAATCTCGCCCATCCTGGAACTCAGGCTATTTTTGAGAGGGGAACTGAGGGGAAGAGAAGGAAATCTTTCTCTGGCAAGTTGATTATCAAAAGAAGAAAAGGTGCTGTTTGAAGCTGATCAGAAGTTTGGCTTCTATACCAGGACACCACACACACTGTGCTTCCTCCTTCAGGTTCGTTAAGAAGAGCAGGATTATTTGAATTCAGATGTGAATATCATACGCCACTTACTGCTACCTTTGGAGAACAAATTTCCAGTGCTTTCCCTTTACTAGGTCTGCCCTGGGCAAGCAGAATTGATGGGCATCCTCACAGAAAAGACTTAGGGCTCTGATTTGGTTCAGTGTTGGGGTAACTCTGCTTATCTTTTACTGGAGGGGAAAAAGCCCTCCTAATGTATTGGTGGTTTATGAGGCGTCGTGATATCTGTTGTGTTTCACGGAGAAGTATTAGTTTAAGAAGCTATGAAACAGAAAATAAAATCTCAGCAAAGGATAGCAGGGTACTTATGCCACTATAAACTAGATCGCATTTAACAGCCATTCAGCAATTGACAGTAGTTTTCATTTCCAGGGAAACAGAACAGTAATATTGAGGAAAGGGAGTTAATCTGCAACAAGGCCATTTAAATTCATTACAAGCGATCAAGTAAGTGTTAGACTCATCACGTTCCTTGCTCAGGTTTGACATACAACCCCATTTAAACCAGTGGCATTTTCAGGGGGCCACTCTTGATCAGCTGGTTTTGCC